GTCTTCAGTTTGCTTTTCAAGTGATCCATAGGATTGAGCACTGGAAGGGATCTTAGTGGTCATGTATTTCAACTTCCTTGTTTTATAGATGAGGAAAATGAGTCCTAGAGGGAGGAAATGACTAGACCCAAATTGCAAAGATGGTAAGAAGCAAACCCAAATCCTTTCATTCCTATGCTTTTTACTGTACCAAACTGCTTCCTCATCTCATGCTATGTGTACTTTAGAAGGAAGCAAAGTTCAATGAAAATAGTGCTAAACTTCTTTGAACCCAAATCATGGCTTTATAACTTACTATATTACCATTGGTAATTGAGTTGTCTGGGCCTCAGTTTCTTCATCTATAAAATGATGATATGTAAAGACTATTCTGGTGTTAAATCTATGATCCTGGCCACTAGGCCTAATTGGGGAAGGGAAAAGTTTACCTTTATTGAACTCCCCTCTTCCATTTTATTTCTTATCTCCTTTTCCCCCTCTTTGGGACTCCTTTCCCTAGCCCAACCACCTCCTAATCATACTGCCCTCCTATTGCTTGAAGTTCCATATTGTGGCATGCCATCCAGGCCAGATCTGCTCTACCCAGAAGAAGCCTTACCTTTTTAGGTCAAGTTGTGAAGGAATTTAAAAGTCAAATACAGAAATTGCTATTTGGTCCCATAAGCCTTTGGGAACCATTGAAATTTACTAAGTAAATGATCAGTTACACACTTAAGGAAACTTATGTGGAAGATGGATTGGAGTAGAGAGACTTGAGGCAAGGAGAATAATGAGGAGGGCAATAGAATCATTTAGGTGAGCAGTGATGTGTGAGCAGACAGAATGGGTCAGTTGTGAAATATGTTGTATAGGGAGAACTGGCAAGGTTTGGTAATTGACTGGATATATGAGGTGAGGGAGAGTGAGAAGATATGTATAATAACACTGAGATTACAAACCTGTGAGGCCAGAAGACTAGTGAGATCTTCAGCAGAAATAGGAAATTTCCAAGAGAGGTGGGTTTGGTGGGAAAGATAATTAGTTCTGTTTTGGAGATGTTAAATTTGAAATATCTTTGGTCACCCAGTTTGAAATGTTCAATAGGTAGTTGGTGATGTGAGACTGAAGTTCAAGGAGAAATTGGACTTGGATGCACACACACACACAACATGCATATCTACATGTGTATACATGTTTTCTGTGAGTCATCTATATAGAGATGGGTGAATTTCAATTTCCTCATATTTAAAATGGAGACAATATCTTTATTACTCATCACAAGAATGTTGGTAGGACTTAGTGAAATTTGGGTGTGACCAAATTTCTATGTAAATTGTAAGCTATTATTGTTCTTATTCTATTATCTCTGGAGGGAAACAACTCAGCCCAAATGATTTTTCTCACGGTGGCTTTTGAGAAAGGGTGACAAAATAAAATGTTCAGGCTGTGTGGGGAAGGTGTCACCGGGGAGTGGGGTGGGGGGACATCTTCCTTCTACCATACTATCCGTTAAATCATACTGCCTCAGCGTCTGGGTAAAGATTTCTCATTTTAATCCTAAGGTTTCTTCCAATTTACTTTCCTTCTTTTCTGACTGATGTGGACTGGGAATCAAACCTTGGTGTGGGTGAGAGGGAACAGATTGATACTTCAGTTCTTAAAGAACTGAACTACCTTCATTTCATGCTTCTGCTTTTGAGTAGGTGGAAACTTCTCTGGAAGGTTCTCTGGGGTTTCTACTGCCTTGTGTCCCACATGTCACTTTTTTGGGGAAGGGGAAACAGAGGGGAGATATAGAGGAAGAAGAAAGGGAAAAAGGCATAAAACTATACCCTATGACAAGCCTTACAGGAAATCCCTTTGACAAATCTTTTAGTTTTGGCTGTCCAGCTGTTAGGAGCACACCCTCCTCCCCACCTCCCCCATCCCTGACTGTGAGTTCCTTGTTTCTCTGGAGGAACTAGAGTCCTTCGTACTTAGCCTCATCGCTGGATGTCTGGTTCCTCTATTGCTTTTTATAGATGAGACGTCCCTTGTGCTACCCCCTGGGTTAAACTAAGAAATTCAGTAGGTAGGAATAATATTCTAAGCAAGCAGGGCTAGAAAAAATGGAGCTCAAGCAAGGTCAAATATTACTTATGAGAGAAGGGATTGATACCTGGAATTTGCATTGCTAAGCATGCCTAAACCTACGATTAAATAAAAATGATCCAGTCCTGCCAGAATTGTTGGGATGGGGACCACACTTTAATAGAAACAGACTGGAGGCCAATGTTAGATAGTCAAAAGAATATTCAGGTGGACCCATTTTTATCAATTCTGTCAGAGTCCAAATTTCCATTTTTCTGTATTAATGTATGTTTAGGCACATTACAAAAGGGTTCAAACAAAGGTTCATTTTTAAAATGGAACTTCCCTGATGCACTCAAATATTTGTTTTAGACAATAAATTCCCTAGAGTGGGGCTAGAGAGAAAGAAGGGACTCTAGGTTTTCCTCAGTCATTGACACTTTTTTCTTGCTGAAACAACTGTATTACCTTGAATAAACGTTTTATGTCACATGCACCCAATAAAATCTAAGTTTCTTGAAGGTAGAGGTTTTTTTCTTCTTTTTTGTCGATCAATACAATTTAATTTGGGTAGCTAGGTAGCTCAGTGGATAGAATACCAAGCCTGAAGTCAGGAAGACTCATCTTCCTGAGGTAAAATCTGGCCTCAGACACTTACTAGCTGTGAGACCTTGGGCAAGTCACTTGAACCTGTTTGTCTCATCAATTCTTCATCTGTAAAATGAGCTGGAGAAGGAAATGGTAAAGCCCTCCAGTATGTTTGCCAAGAAAACCCCAAATAGGGCCATGAAGAGTTGGACATGACTGAAAAGACTGAACAGTAACAACATTTGATTCAATGCAGCTCAGCAAAAATGAAGCACCTCCTATGTGCCATGCACTGTGCTAGGAATTAGGGACCCAAAGACAAAAAAGAAGGAATGAATTGGGGAAAACAACATATATTCAGATTAGCAAATACATGAATACTCTGTTGGTCCTCATCCTAATTCACACTCACTCTGTCAAACCAGGTCCAGTTCTACCTAGCTATGTCTTTCGCCCTTCCTCAAGGTGTTAGGATTACTTTTAGGGTTTCAGGAGATTCTTCTAATGCCATTGGCTTGAACTCCATTCCAATGTGTTTTCCCCAAGAACAACTGCCAATTATATTTATCTTCTCTATATTAGTGACTGACCTAGTAATTAGCACCACAGTAACATTCAGGGATGTTTACCGAAAAGATTTAGCAAGACCTAGAGCACAAAAATATTTTCCCCAATAGCAGGGCAAACTCCCTTCTCTATCACCTTAGTCCTTGGGAAGAGCAGGCTCACACATAAAAGACACAGTAAATATGTGTTGAAATTAGTTTAGTCCAATTCATTGAAAGAATAGTGAATTTAAAGCATAAGCAGGCATCGAGTATGGGGTGTGCCTGTATATTTTTTGTATGTAGGTATTTGTATATAGGTAGGACATGATCACAGAACACCTATAACTTAGAGGTGGGAGATTTCAATTCCAGTTACATTATTATGTGGGTGACTTAAGGTAAGTGAAACCTCCATTTGGTCATCTGTCAAATGAGAATAATGATACTTGCTCTGCCTGCCTTGATTCTTTAAAAAAAATAAATTCTGAATTAAAAAGCACCAAAAAAGAAACATTTCCAGGTAAACAGAAAGAGGGTTATACCTAAAACCATGAATCTATTATGTACAGCTTACTTTAAAAAAAATGCTGTAAATTCAACATGTTACTTTCAAAGCTATCCTGCTTCTGTGTGTTTCCTCCTAAATTTCCTTCTGTTTCCTTCTGAGTATTTTTGAGATGCTCCAACGATTCTTTTATTCTTCTCTTTCTGCCAATACTATTGCTTGCTTTCCCTTTTCTCTAACACCTCTCTCCAAATAAAATGAGGGGAAAACAAACCTTATAACCAATTAGCACAGTATATCAAAACAAATCCACACATTTGCCAAGTCCACAAATGTATCTTTCTTTCTGTACTTTGAGTCCATCATTCCTTTGGCAGTAGGTAGGTAGCATGCTTCATCTTTCCTGCTTTGCTTTTATGGAATGAATAAAGCAATGTGTGTGAATGTGCATTGCAAATGCAAAACCTAGATATAAATGTAAAATATTGCTCTTAGGAAAGCTTAAATACCCTGACATTGAATGATCAATCTTAGTGAAGATTCAATATCTCTGAAAGCACATGCAATGTCAGCGGGGAAAAAGGACTCACTTTACACTCAGTTTTTCAGTAGCATGGCAATGGAATGATATGAAGGTGTAGGTGTTCTGTGAGCACATGTTACCTATGTGCAAATATGCCAGCACACACCATACTCTATGCCTGCTTGTGCTTTAAGTTCAGTGTTCTTTCAATTTAATTGGACTGAATTAATTCAACAAATATTTACTGAGTGTCTTTTATGTGTGACTCTACTTTCCCCAAGGACCAAGATGGTAGAGAAGGGAGTTTGCTCTGGTATTAGGGAAACTATGTATTCCCTGGTATTCTCTGTGCTTATGCTGTTGTGACCTAAACACTATCTGTCATCCTACTAAAGTGATGCTTCCTTAGCAGGATGAACTCTTTTTCCTCTAATGGCTTTGATTTTGGTAGGCAAGGGTCTGTTGTCCCATGCGACAGCATGAAGCAGGTGGCTTTGACTACTAGACTTGGAACTCCATCCAGCCTGGAGGGGGATGGGACAGGGAGGTGTTTGCCCCAGAAATCTTCCAACCAGGCCAGGCCAAGCAAAGGTAAAGAAGACACCACCTGCTGCATCATTAAATTATAACAAGCCCTGATATTCATTCCAGAAGCTTTGGGCTTGTTTGCTCTTCCTGGTGGAAGGGCAATTGTGATTGGCCCACCCACTGAGAGTTATCATGCCTTATCTCGGGCTGGTTATTATTTGATTAAAAGAGGCTTTCTCCTCCTGCTCAGTTTCAAAATAGAGCACTGGTTGGGGCATTTGTGCCTGGTGAGCTTGCAGTCATCAAAGAGGCTTTTGCTGAGGTTCCTGGAGAACTTTATAAGTCCCAGATCCGCTCCACAAATGAGCATCCAGAAGAGCTTTCAGACTTTCCCCGGGCTAGTGGTGGTCTCTCCAGAGCAGAGAGCTGGCTCATTGTGAATTAACCAGTTGCAAACAAACTCCAAACACCCTCAAGAGCTGAGCAGCCAGGTAACTTTTTTGTGCCCTCCTATTTCTTGAGTTATCTCATGGTGCAGAGGATGAAGGAAATTCTGGTTAGGGTCAAAAGGGTGGAGGTGGCACTTTCAGATACTAGGGCTTATATGTCAGAAAAAATAGAAGATAAACATGGAGATGCTAAATTTAGAAGAGCTTAGAAACACTTCAGGCTATGCAGATCTTTCTTTGGGTTCTGAAAATAATAACAGCAAAGTCAGTGTGCTTCCTTGTCTATTTACCCTGGGAAAGGCAACTAACTGGATAAGTTATGGCCAATTATTTAAGCTCTGAAAGGCCTTTGCTTTACCATTCTCTTGGCCAACAAACTGTCCTATAACTAGGGGTTCTTAACATAGTCCATGAATTTTTTTTTAAGAAAAGATTTTGAGGATCATATTTCAATATAATTGACTTCCTTCATAATCCTATACATTTTATTTTATTTTTTATTTTTTTGCATTTAAAAACTATATTCTGAGGAGTAGCAGCCTGCTAGAAGGGCTCGTGCTACAGATAAGATTGAGAACCCTTACTTTAAGCTTACTGATTTTGTATACATTCCTTTTTGGTGCTTTCTTTTCATGGCTGCATCTCCAAGGGAGAAAAAAAGATATTAGTCCCTAAAGCTATATTTAATTCTTTACACTTCACCCAGCTATAAATGTGTGTGGGCTGCAAATGTGACTGTTTACCCTTTGCACTTATTAAAACACAACCTGAAGATGCTCTGGGAAAAGTCCCCAGTTCTGAATTTCCTTTCTAAGATCTGCTTTCCTATTTTGCTTGAGGACTGTATTTTATTTGCAATGTGTTTCCTTTCATTTGAACCATATTCTAAGCTTAATGGACTTTTAGTGGATAAGGAAATTGGCCAGATATGTATGTTAAAGGCTATTCTCTGTGATGAAAGCTGGAGTCCTTGTGGTAACCTGCTAACTGTAACTATGCAAAGGGAGGATGAACTGAAGAGATGAAGGGAGAGATTTCACATTTTTGAAAGATGCTTGGGGGGAAATACATACTTCAAATATAAAGGGAAAGAAATAGGACTTTTATTGGCATCATATGAAGTGATGCTTTCAATCAATTCCTTATGCTTTGTAAGTTATAAAGCAATCATTCAAACTAATTTTCTTTTACTTGCTTTTTCTCACTGTCTTAAGTCTTGTTTTTCCTTGATGTTTTTTTTTTAATTCCTAGTTGCTGTTATCTGAGTTGTAATTAAGCTAAGGCAAGTGGGATATTGACTCAGGGTACCGAAATGGAGAGCAGAGGGACTTTATGAATTGCAAGTCTTGTATTCACCATGCATACTGTTATGACTTGAACACGTCCTATCTCCCCACTTAATTGATGTTTACTTAGCAGGATGAACTTTCCCCAATGGGTTTGAGTTTGACAGGCAAGAGCCTATTGTCCCATGTGACAGTATGAGGCATTAGGCTTTGGAGAACAGGGAGACTCCCTGATGGGTTGGTCTTGGCATAAGAAATAGACCATAGCTAGGTCTCCAGAGAAATGCTGTTCCTCAAGACCAAATACATCCCTGGAGAGAGAGGCAGCACAAAGACAAGTGGTCAGGGGCTGTTCTGTCCCTTGGATAACTTTCTGCCTAACAATATGGGGTCGTTAAGGGGACTCACCTTTAGGGGACTCAATTCCCCAGGGGACAGTATTCGTCTGTGGACCTTATTTCGCTAGATGAGAGGGGACTTTCAGGGGACATCACAACATATTTTCTCCCCACCCCGGACATAGGGGGAATTCAGGCTGCTGAGGTGGGGTGCTTCTCTTCTCCCCATTAAGTTAAGAAGGAAGATTAGCACAGTTATAAGTCAGGCCTGGAGCAGTTCTTCAGACCACGATCTATCCTCTTTCTTTCCTCTACTGCATTGGCACCAGGCTCCAGAATTCCTAGCTATGATTCTGGCAGACACATATCTTCCGAGCCATTTTTGTTCACAGAAAGTTTTTTGGGTAAAAGGATTACTCTTTCTGATGTGAAATGGGGCAGTGCTACTAGCAAGCCTCCTTTGTTAATGGAACCCCCAAGATTATTAAGACTAGCAGGTCCCATTTGAATAATATTTGTATTGTTATTAATCAGATGTTTCAGCACCAGAAATGACACAGACTTTCCACTTTAATAACTTCTGGAAGCATAAGTTTGAATGGTGTTACATAGGGATTATGCTTGTATAGAACTTTAGAGCTGGATGTAACTAAAAAGTTGTTGTGTACAACTAGTTCACTTGGCTACAGAGCTTACCTAGGACCTAGGATTTCCCAATCACCTGAAGAATCAAGACCAGCTTGATCTTTCACTCCAAGCACGCATTGATGAGGCGGGAGAAAAGATGGCAGCAACTCCGTTTATTTTTAGCAAAGCACTTACTTATATAGCAAAATAACAGGAACTCTTTCTCAAGTTACAGTGATGTATAGCCCATGCTGTGCTCAAGGACAGTGCATGCACAGTCCGTGCACTTACCTACCACCAATCACAAATACACTGTTAATGACTAATGAGTAACTAGGGAAGTTAGAGATGCATAGAATGGAGCACCGAACCAGGCAACTTTTGCTCACAGATCAATCACCTGAGAGGGGCCTCCGCCCATCAGTGAGACCTCATGAACAGCCTGTGGCCCTCTACATCCTTACAGATCCCCAACAAAAAGTGGTCATTTGGTCTGATCTCCCATCAAGCACAAGAATACTGTCTCCGGCATGCTTGGGAGCACTTTTATTCAGCCTCCACTTGAATAGTTTCAGAAGTTCTTGTCCAGACTCCTTTTCTAGAACTTCTGCCCTTTGGTTTTTAGTCCTACCCCCAATTACCAGCCAGAAGCCTTCTCTGATAATCAATCAGCAAGCTTTTATCAAACGATACTACATAAAAGTGACAGTGCTAGGTTCTGAAAATACACAAAACCAAAACTGTGACTGCCCTTAGGGAGGCTACAATCTATCAGGGGAGATAACGTGTGCATACATAATAAATGTGTATGAAATACTCATGGGGGAAGCCTTTAATAGTGGAGGGGGATAGGTGGAGGGAAAGGAAGGCTTCATGGAAAAAGTGACACTTGAGTGGAGTCTGTTCTAGGAATGGGGTGCCTGTTGACCTTTTCTGCTAATTATGGTGCCAATGGACCTGGATTCTTTTCTTCACATCTAGGGGAAAGAAGGGCCAATAGTGTTTCTCTCTCTCTCCCCTCCTAACTTGGATTCTTGTGGGATTGGATTGTTTTGGGTTTTGTTTGTTTGTTTGGACCTGAGTAGAAAACTCCTAGTGGGATAACATCCCACCATTGATGTAGACTGGACACTTGTCTATAATTTGTCATCTTAGAAAGTTGCCTGGGATCCTGGATAACTAAGGGACTTGCTCATGACCACATGGACATTATGTTCTAATAGTTCTTCCTAAAGCCAAAACTTGTGTGTATATGTGTGTGTGTGTGTGTATGTGTGTATACAACATATATATATATATATATATATTATGTATATATGTATGTATGTATATACACACATGCTAAATTGTACCAGAGTCCAGCTCCTGGCTCTAATCAATCAACAAACATTCATTAAGCACTTGCTATGTGTTAGATCCTGGGGATAGAAATAGAAAAGTAAGATTGTTGTTACTCTGGTGGAGCTTACAAAACAAATACAATATACAGTGATTGTGGTGAGGGGCACTAATAACTGGAAGAATCAGAAAGGGCCTCTTGAACGATTTGGCATTTGATTTGAGACTTGAATAAAATTAGGGTTCCAAGAGATAGAGGTAAGTAGGGAGAGTATTCCAGACATGGTGGATAGCTTATGCAAAGGGAGAAGAAAGTTTGAATGTGTTACATGAGGACCAGCTAGGAGGCCATCTTGGTTGAAGATTAGCATAAGTGAAGGGGAGTCATGTGTAATCTACCAGGAAAGATAGGCAGGAGTCAGAATGTGAAGACCTTTACAAGTTTAATAGAGGAGTTTCTATGTGAGCCTAAAGGCAATGGGGACCTGAAGCTTCTTGAATAGGTAAATAAACATTTGATTTAGGAGCCCTTTGGTCATACTTTGGTAGCTATGTGGCAGCTACAGTTTATCCTTTGTTCTCAAAGAGGACCATGACATCGGGGAGGTGATACCATGACATGCAAGTGAACTGGATTTAAGTGAGGGAGGCTGTGCAAAGTCACCAGCCTCACTTTCTCCTCTGGAGCCATCTGGGTCCGGTGGCCAGATATAGATCAGGACAACTGGAGATGGCCTTGGATGTAGTAGGAGACTTTTTAAACTAAGGTCTTTAATAGATCTCAATTTGACTGAGGCAACACCCATTTAGTGATTAAGGCTAGGTAAGAAATGAGCAGAGAGTGGCCTCAAGTGAAAAAAAAAGAGTCAATTTGGGAGGGGAAGACCTGGTTAAAACAGAAACAATTGCTTTTTACATTCACTCTGAGTCAATCAGGGCCCAAACAAAGTGGGACTTGGGCTGGGACCTATTGCTGGCCAATCAATGAGAGCCAGAGTGATTTGGGTTTAAGGAGTGGTCCTTAAGGAAAAAAAGATTTCAGCAGGCTACAATTTACTAGATCCACTATCTCTAGTTCAATCTCTAGTTCAAATATCTGTGTAACCTGTGGCAAGTCTCTCAACCTCCGTCTGCCTCAGTTTCTTCATCTGTAAAATGGGGATAATAACAGCACCTACTTCCTAGAGTTGTTGTGAGGATAAAATGGGATATTTGTAAAGCATTTTGCAAATCTTAAAGTACTATATCATAATCATCATTATTATTATCCACAAAAAATGTCAGTTTCATTTCTTTTATTTCAGAGACATTATCAAGTAATTTAATTCTCAAATTTAGGATTTGAGAAATGAAAAAATGAGTCTTCCACATTTTGCAACTCTTCTGCCATTTCTGAGATCAAATATTACAAATTAAATATGTACATGTGGCTTTTGTTATTCAAAAATAATAG